GACTATTTTACAAAATATTAGTCTACTAAAACACAGTCAAAACAAGTTACTTTGTACAGACCAAAGGTCAGTTTTATGTTATTTGATATGGTAACATGAGTGCAAGTGAGCTGCATCATTGTAACTTCTGTATTTTTAGCCAGGTACAACTGAAAGTTCAATATAACAAAAATAATTAATATATATATATAAATGTATAATGTTATGAGATTTAAGCTATTTATTCTTAACATTTATGTTTTCGTGTTGTAATCTATGTTCATTCTGTGCTGAAAGAGTTAATGAAGTTTCATTGGGCAAAGTTTGTCATTTTGAAATTATCTGTAACTTGCATGCAAATCTTAAGTTGTTACATCTTTGCCCATAATTTCTTTGGTTTGGTCATCAATCTGTATTATTTCCATATTCTTTACTTTATTCACCAGATCTTACTTACTGTGTTAGATTCTGTTTTTGCTTATGAATACTGTTTTGTCTTATCTAATAGCTTCTTTTCTGGATATTTTGTATCCCCCTCTTTTTTATTACTAATGTTTTTTGTTTCTTTTCTGTATATTTTGTGTCCCTCTTTTTTTTTATTACTATTGTTTTTTTTTTTTCTTTCTGGACATTCCACTTTATGCTGTTGCTTGATTATACTTGTCAATGTTATAATTGAACATTCTATTCCAAAATATACTTACTGCCTCTCACACTACAGTTATTAATCGACTGCCAGGGTTTCTTCCTTTGCCCACCTAAGCATTGGTCTGATTTTTTTCTCGCTTGCTTCAGTCTTTTATACCACACTTAATTGCATTTGACAATATTGGTCTTGTAACACTCTCCACCTATTTCAATGCTCCCTCTATCCTGGTACTGTATATAAGCACCTCATAATGTTACCACTTTTTCTTGACAAAGTGTCACTGATGGGTTTCCTAGTGCTATGATCATTTGGAGACACTTTAAGCATTCTCCGTGTTAGCTAGTTGGTTTTCATTAAAAAAGAAAAAAACAAAAATCTTGTTTGATTAGCAAGCTAATTTATGGTATGAATTCCCAGATTATTATTTCTGGGACAGAGGCAAATCAGGTCTCTCCTATCCAACCTCTGATATCTGGTGTTGCACAACAATTGGGTAGGGGGGGGGGGTCACTCTCGGTTGAGACTGTCAGTGACCTTATACGTAGTGAGATGGAGACATATATTTGATTCAGTGGTGTTCCTCCAGGAGGCTCTAAGGCTGCAATTGAGGGCAATCCTTGACATTTAGATTTGCTCTTTCCAGTGCCTTCTTTTAGTCTGTTGGCTTCTCAGTTCCCCCTGCGGGATAGTGATAAGTTTAGACTTACAACTCTGGAATCCGGGGTTTGATTCCTTATAGTGGAAACAGCAGATAGCCCAATGTTACCTTGCTCTAACAAAACAAACTTACCTGACTAAATGTTGTTCCAAACAATAGTAATAAACACAGTCTTTAAATGCAATAAAAAACAAAAAGGAAGCCACTTTGGGATAAGCTGCCTATATTTTTGTTTTTCAGTTGATTCATGGAGAGTGAGATGTTTTGGGTCTTTCCCCAGTTGATTTTGAGCCTGCACCTTACCTGATGGTTAAAAGGTCTGGAAGTGAATATTTAGTTTTCTCTTCATCCAAGGACATTGTGGTTCATGCAGGGAGGTTTACTTATCTGACACGGTTGTTGGAACTTCGTGATTTAGCCTACCACTGCTAGGTGGAAACATATTCTGACTCTCAAATAAGACATCTGCTCTTCGAAATTAGGGGTTTTAAGGCAGAGTTTGTAGTTAATCTGAATAGACCAATGTCCCCTGGTGGGACAAGGTAAGTTTATGGACTTACAACTCTAAAATCCAATGTTTGTTTTCCTTACACTAATCTTTGTTGGAAGACTCTCAGGATCTCCAACTTCTTTGATGACAAGGTGGAACCATTGTTAGCAAGCACATTGGTTCGATTGTCAGCTTCTACATTCATCCTTGTTGTTGTTGGTGTCTTGAATTTCATCGGCTCCTACAGGGGGTCATAGTTCCGCTCCTAATCGAGGGTCCTGAACCCTGACATCAGCTCCTTAGTACATTGGTACCCAGAATAGATTCTGTCCATATCCAAGGGTTCCACTGCTCAGTGAGATCACTGCCAGCTGCGTCTGTAATTACTGTATACTTTCAGGGTCTGTGGGGGGTCGGCTCCGAGAATTTCTGGACATGTGGTAACCTTAACCATGGATCCATGAGCACTATTGGTCCTTGAGTTGGCATTTTTTGTGCACAAGGGTCAGGTACTTCAGTTCAAGGTTTTTACCTTTGGACTAGCACTTATTCATCAATTGTTAGAATATCACACCCTGATACTACTTTCAGAAACAACCAAGGCAGCCTTCATTTTCAGAGCTGAGACGTTTATCCTTGCTCCAATTCATTATGTCCTCAGTCTGTTTTTTTTCATCACGTCTCTCAGTCGGGCTCAGCTGACTCCCATCTGGCTCCATGCTATGGAACAGGAATCCCTGACTCTAACACATCTCTCCTTCTCCCATAGCACAGATGGTTCTTTCTCTTTTGAGAATGTGGGTGTCACTCGAATCCCTCATGCTTTTGGGATGAGAGCACAAGAGATTCTTTCAGTGGTCTTTATGCGACCAAGGGATCATAAACATCAATTCACTAGATTCCCCAGTTTGATTAGTCAGAATCATTCTTTGATCTCGAGAGGTTGTTAAGTCGGGACGCTACTGAGATATGGATTCCTCTGCTGCCACCTTGTCCAGAGTTCCATCTCTTCACAAATGCCTTGCTTCAGGGATAGGGTGCATATACCAACAATCAGGAATTCCGGGGTCTACACACGTATGATGAGGCTTCCCTACTCAATGTTTTAGGCCTTCTTGCTCTTCAGAAAGGCAATGCCTCATGGTCTGGGTTTATCAAGGGGACAATCGTTAGGCTTCACTCTGACATTTCTGTGGTCATGTGTTCTGTTTCTCATTGATGAGGCACTTGATCCAGGGCTCCTTGTTTTCAAATTTTGGACATCCTTTCTCGGGACCTCTCCTGTCATATCACCCTGTTAGCTTGCCATGTACCATGGATGATGACTGTGGTAGCAGATAAATTGTCTCAACCCAAACAGATTCACCCAACAGAATAGATGCTGCATCACAAAGTTCTGTTGGATTGGCTCTCATTTTGCAACTCTGATTGGTGGGTTGGCTGCTCATTGGAACACTCAACTACTGACAGTTTGGTCTCCAGTACCTCACCTTTGGTCTTTGGCAATAGATGCATTCCATTTAGACAGGATAGGATTACAACTCTAGGTTTTCCCTCCAATTCATATGTCACCCAAGGTACTAACTAGAATTTGTTCCAACCCATTGTCAGATCCTGTTGATAGCACCGATTTGGCATCTATACCCTGGTTTCTGCTTCTGCAGTACCTCCAGAAGTGTCCACCTCTTTCACTTCTTCTTAAGCCATCTTTGTGGAGACAGCCATGATTTGACATGGTACACCCAGCTATTGAGAAGCTTCAGGCATAGAGGTTAGGCAGTCTTTCGCATGGCACTGGGGTTTAATTTCTATGGTTGACGTGTATATGTCTCAGTCTTTGTTTAGTCCCACAATGGACGTTTATCAACGAAAATGACGCACATATTGGCAATGGTGTATTGAGAGGAGGTTGAACTCACTTAGATCAGAAGTGCTAACCATAAATCGTTTTTTGACCTGGCTTTTTAACAAAGAGTTTTTACACCTTCCACAATCGCCCTGTATAAGGTGGCCTTATTGACTACTGTTTGATACTCTCCAGATTCCTCAAGTCACTTTGGGTCCTTTGCCCCGAATGACCATTCCAGTTACTTAATTGGTATATTAATGTTACATTACATGACCTTTCTCAACACTTGTTTGTGATCTTATTCTCATATGCCATGTATCACTTTTATCTAAAGGTTTATTTTTCATTGCTGCTGACCTACATACATTGCTGGTCAGAATGTTTTGCACTGTTTGTCCACAGAATGCTTTATCATTCTACCTACATCCTCAGACTGGTTCTTCTTACCCAAGACACTGTCAGACAGGGAAGGGGATAAATCCTTTTTACCAATTCATCTGATCCCCTATTTTTCACTTCTATGACCAATCAGATTTTGATCATTGTTATGTTCAGTGAGGGTCTTGAAGGTTTTGTTGCCTGCACTAATGCCTTTCGAGGTGCTAGACAATGACTTTTAATTCATTGAGATCTTTCAGTTTTGCAGGATTTATCCCTGGTTACATTGACGAAGTGGGTACAAAATTGATCCATGTCGCTTATTCTGAGCTCTCTTTGAAGGCAAGGAGTCTTCTGCGAGTCCTCATGTTTAATCAGATTCGTCACATTTGTATGTGGATCTCCCCCAATGCTTTTATCTCTTATTATTTGCACGATCTGGTAGTATCTTCATCCGAGGGTTTTTGACTACCCCCTGTAGCTATCTTAACCAATTCCACTAGATTATACGGAGGGGTGAGTATTTTAATTGCTACACTTGTCTCTTTCAGGGTCCTTTAACTTGTTTTTACAGGGTCCCACTCAGTGGTGAGGGTTACTCAGCTAGGTGTGCTTTTATCAAACCAATTCCACACTAGCAACCACTAATTCAATATACCTTATCTAGGTTGCAACAGGCTTTGTAGAAATGGACTATCATGAGTAAAACATAAGGGGATCCTTCCTGTCCCTGCCAATCATTGGATTGAATAAATTGGGTTTAGTTTGCTTTTAAACATTTATGGAACTTGGTTCACCTATTGCACTGTTTCCAGAGCACTGTTCCTCAGGACTCCCCAATGCCCACCCAGATGAAGCTAGTGAGTCCTTACAACACCCAATTTCTAGTCACTGGGGTGGTGGACAGAGGCCTTTCTTCCAGAGTGTTAGAGTGAATTCCTCCACTCTTGGAGAAGAGGGCAAAGTTGGGGGCTCTCCTACCTGTGTCCCTGGATGTTTTTTTTTTTTCCCAGAAGTTGGTAGAAGAGGCAGCAGTGTACGTGGGAGCCTAATCATAATACTGGTTCAGATTTGATGCTCAGTGGATCGTAAAGCATCGCTCCCCTTCTCGTCATGATTAAAGTGGATCGTAAAGCATCACTCTATGGCAACAGGTTAGGATCCACTCATAAGTGTAAACATATATTGTTATCTTGTGGTCCAATTATCCTAGCCACCAATGTGGGATATAGGGACCATGGCTCTATAATTCCAACCCTGAGCAGTGGAACCTCGGGTAACTGGTTGGGGTCTGATCAACAGTGATGATAAATCATGTAAGATTCTACCCACAGTACATTAATTAAGTTCCATGTGAAGAACATACCTGTTCTGGAGGTAGTGCAGTTCCACCACTAGGGTGTTAATCTTTTATTGACACACCCATGATCTATGCAAATGCTTTCTGGCCCCTCCACCTTCTCACTGTGGGATTCTAGCTTTAGTGTGAGCAGAAGTTAGTATGCTTCGGAAGTTAATATTTTCTTAAATTGAAAATGTATTTCCAATAATACTTGCCTCCTCTCCCACTCTCTTGCCCTTTCTCCCCACTAAGAGCTGGTGTTAGAGACTGCGGATTGACTCAGTTTTGAAAAGTGATAACATTCTTTGAATGAGGTGCTTATATACAGTACCAGGATAGAGGATGCATTGATGTAGGTGAAGAGTGTCAAGAAACAAATATCGCCAAGAGCAATTAAGTGGGGTATAAAAGACTGGAGTAAAAAAATCAGACAAATGCTTTAATGGTCAAAGGAAGAAACCCTGGCAGTGGAGTAATAGTTGTAGTGTGGAAGGAGGTAAGTATTATTAGAAATATATTTTTGATTTAAGAAAATGTCGACTTATGCTAAACTGATCTGTGTAAACCCTTGTTATAACTATTTAACAAATGAATTTCAGTGCATTTATTATTGATATTTAAGATTATACAAAACTTACTCACATTTTTCTGTTTGTGAAATATTTTTCATGGAATATATATAAATGGATTTTTATACATTATTGACAAAATAGGGTAAAATGTAATAATGAAATTATTCAGCGAGAACAAAACATTATTAAGCATTTTGTTGCTTGCTTTTTTATATATATATGTAAATTTAATTATAGATTTAAAGGCAGTGCGTGGTCTCTGTGGGCTGAGAAATTTAGGGAACACCTGTTTTATGAATGCTGGCCTTCAGTGTCTTTTCAATAACAGACAATTGCTGGAGTTCTTCCTGGAAAAGTTTGATGCTGATGAGACCTTGAAAGATACCCTTACAGGAAAATTTGCTCATTTGATAGCCAAAGTTTGGAGTGGAAACTATACTGTACTTCATCCTTCTACATTTAAACAACTTTTGGGAGATTATCATCCACAGTTTAGAGATTTTAGACAGGTGTGTTAAAAAATGTTCATATTTATAGCAAATGCCTAACTTGAAATTGTGTGGCTCTTATGAAATCAAAAATGATAAACACAAGTACAGCTGTAGTTTTCTTCTTATTGTGCTCCATAAATTAGTAAGATCTATAGCTGTGACTGGATTTTATTTCCATCTTCTCAGCTGCAAATTCTGATTTGATGTAGTGCCAAAATTCTAATGGATGTCGTGTGGTTATTTTTGTCTTATAAAAGAAACCAAATAATATTTGTTGGTTTGATAATTTTATTTTATATTTTATGGCCATCCTAAGTGGTTCTTATTTTTTAAAAACTAGCTAGTACCTTACTACTACTACAACTTTGCATTTTTATTTGTATTTATACAGAATGTTCGATTTTGTGTCATTGTATTAATAAGTGCTTTTGATCAAAAAGAAGTTAACTTTATAGGCCAGTACTTAAAAGTTCATTAAATGAAGCCAATTCTACATATCCATGACTGGCAGTAGTTAATGTCATAAATCAATATATAAGGAAACTAAAACCTGTAATGATAAGAATATTGACTCACCAGCTACTTGTGGCTTATTTCTCCATGTTTCTTCAGTTGGTAAGGGCTCTGGATTTAGTACCTTGAATATTTGATAATTAAGAAATTTCAGTTTGCCTGCATAATGGTATAAGGATGTTATAATGTGGGGAAAAAAATCATCTATATACATGTATATGTGTGTGTGTGTTTATACAAATAGGATTACTTTCAGACTATATAAATTTGACAACAAAGTCTGGTTGTAAACAGGAGGATGGCTATGTCAGCAGTAGTGATGATGGTAGTGTATGGTTCTTTGACTGTAGGCAGCAGGGATCAGTAGTATTAAGGCAAAGAATTAGATGTTGGGGGAGTGTCCTGAGAAAAATACAGTTTTACTGTGCGGTTGCCAGAAAAATCTCCTTGCCAAGTGCCGAAGCTGAAACATGCAATTAAAGTAAAATCACATACAATGAAAAAAGATTAGATGCTGTCTTTTAAGTGTTAAGTGTTAATTTGAAATATACTTTTGCTTTGAGGAGGTTGAGGCTACTGTGGTAGAGCATTTTGTTGAGAGAGGGTTTCTATTTTTGTTAGTTTTCATAGGATTTAGAAGCTAACTTGATAACTCTGTTTTTAACTGTTGGGATGGTTGAACATTTATTAGTGTAAGGTGTAAGAGTGTAAGTATAAGAAGTGAAATACTATACTTAATGTATGGAGTTGGAGTTGGGATGGTTGAACATTTATCAGTGTAAGGTGTAAGAGTGTAAGTATAAGAAGTGAAATACTATACTTAATGTGTGGAGTTGGAGTTTTTGCAAATCACAGAAAGTATTGTCAGACATATTGCAAGTTTATCATACAGTCGTGTTCCAGTAGTGGTCAAATGAAAATTGTGTAGACAAGTAGGAATTTGGAAGTTTTACAGCTGTTAATATGATCTTCTATACATCAGAGGTAATTAATTCTTATGTGCATTTGTTGAAGAATTTCACTGAATTGTGAGTTCCAGGTGAATTGATTATTGAATTTGATACCAAAAAATTTAATTTTGTTTGTGAAGATGATGGGTGTGCCATATAATTTTAGTTTGACTTTCCTTAACATAGGAAATTTCATGGTTAAACTTTTGTGGAAAACAAATGGCTGAGTTTTTGAAGACTTGAGAACAATCTGCTGCTTTTTACGCTATGTTATGATTTGGTTGCCAGAAATCTGAAATCTTTTGTCTGCAAGTGGTGGTTTCCTAATATTCTCCATACTTTTATGTCATCAGCAGCATACTAAGAAATTATTGTTAAAGATTGAGAAGATATTCTAATTTATAAAGGAGGGAGGGAGTATAATGCTATTTTTGTTATTTGTTCTGCAGTTGAGATGTTAATGTTCTGAATTGAGATCTCCTAGAATGTGTGAGAATGTAAGCTTAGAACTGATTGAATGAAAGATGTATCAAGATTAGTTTTAAACATAAAGCGCTAAAATGATAATAAATAGAAAATTTGGAACATGCAGATTGCATAAAATAACTGTGTGAAGTAGAGCTTGGGTTTACTAGAGGGAGAATTTTGATATTTCTCCTGAAGAAGACAGCAATACCTCAACTACTTGGAGATTTGGTTTAGGCAGAATGTTATGATTTGTTGGCAAAGTTCCATTAATTCACATTTTTTGTAGCTTAAACCACCCTGGTTATTATTAAAAAAGATGCATAAACGTTTTTCTTACCTATGCTATGAGAACAGTTACACCTGTTGCATCATTGCATTATATGGTCACCAAGGGATATTGAATATGGATTCTGCATGGTTAATTAGAATTGTGCTTCTGCACATACCTGCTTCAGGTAGACTAGTGGGAACTTCATGATGTTAAGGTTACTGGAAGACTTGAAGTTGTCAGCAAAGAAGGCAACAGTATCTTGTACCACATGACATGGGTTTACATGGCTGGACAATCTTTTGGGGTCTTATGGGTGGCATCTGTATATGATTTCTGTATTAGTTCCTACTTGGGTGGGTCACTGGTTATTGGTTGTGTCTGGGTTGTGAATATAAGTTATTGGTTCTGTTGTGGTTTAAGTAGCTGCAGAGCATTGTTCTTTGATAAGCCTGGTAGTGGATGATTGGCAATAGTTTAGCCTCTGGAAGAAGCCTTGCTATAGACACTTGAGACTTGAAGGTATCAGATGCATCCTCTTTAGGAAGCAATATGGGAATCTCCACAGTTATTGCATTGGGTTTTCTTGTATTGTTTAGGGTGCTTGACAACATATTTTTGACATGAACAGCTGGTGTACTTGACTCAGGTGCTTCTGGTTACTCTGGTATGCCTGAACCATTGGCAGTTGAAACACTGCAGAACTGGGTTCAGAGTGAAGTTGGCTTTTTGTATGCTGTATCTCGCATACCACAGGACTACCCCAGCCTTGATGAGATGAGTTGCTTGTGGAGGCTCATGAAGAATATCCCTGATGAGAGGGTGAAGTCACTGGTCTTGAAGGACTTGATCATAGGTAACTTCACAATAGCATATTTCTGATTGGACATCAAGGTTAGGAGGATTCCACAGCTGATGATGGTTGTCTTGTGTGGGAAAGCCAGGCACGTGGACATTGAGCATTATCCTGTTGAAAGCTGAGGCTGGCTAGGACTTGTTAGTGTCTAGAGGCAAACAGATTTATGCTGCTTGAACATGACAATTTATGGCTAGTGAGGATTATTGTTGGTGTCTAGACACAGACAGAGTTGTACTGCTTGAGGAGGATAAGGTGTTGAAGACATCTTTGTGAAATGAGTTTACGTCATACTTAGGCACATTAAAAAGTAAGTGTATTCTTAAATAGTTGTATCATAAAATGTTATTATTGGAGCCTGTAGAACCATAAGGTGCTACTCTCTTTGTCTTCTTTAGCAGTATGAACTGAACTATAACATTTTCCTTTGTTATAATATAATTATTGATATGTCCTCTACCTTAGATGTCTCACTTATGATACATTTCTGTGTTATCAGTTTGAAGTAATGATTTTGGATTTTATAGTTTGATTTTGTATTATAAGTTCATTATTAAACTACATATGCCTATCATATTCCTTCCTTCATTCATTATCAAATATATAAAAAAATTATTATTATTATTATTTTTTTAACAGCATGACTGCCAAGAGTTTCTAGTTTTACTTCTGGACACCCTCCATCAACAACTAAATACTGCTTCCAACAAGAGTATTCAGTCAGATATTTCAGTGGAATGCAGCCAGTCAATGGGTTCTGTAGATGATAGGACAGCAGAGGTCGATCCTGATGAACAGAGATCAGACACTGAAAACCAAGAAGAAGATACTGAAGAACAAGAAACTAATGAGGATAGTCAAGTTATGGTTCAACCACTTGAAGTTCCAACAACTCAACCTCACCTATCAGAAAGCAGTTCTCATTCTGCTTCTCCTCGTAGCACTGATTCATTTAACTCTTGGGATGCAGCTAGTATTCGTTTGCAGCCTATTCCTGAAAATGTCAAGTCTTTCAGTGATGTAAATATTTCAAGTAATTTAAATTCCACACAATCTGAAAAGAAACTTAAGGTAATACAAGAGTCTTCTGAGTATGCCGACTTCAATCAAACTTTACTTGAAAATTCAAGTAACAACATTACTGATAACTCTACCAACATTATGCCTACAGAAAACTTAGTAACTACCCTGAAAAAATCTGAAACAGTTGACAATATTCATGAAGAGAAAAAAGAAAAATTAATGGAAAAGAACATTCTTGCTAGTCAACTTAATTATAGCAGAAAACTTCCAAACTTTGAAGATTTTATTAAAGAAACCAAAACTCTGAATACTAATGTACTTGTCACAGAAGAAATTAACAACCAGTTAAAGTTTGACAGTGAAAAATATCCAAAACTAGAACATATCAGACCTCGTGAAACTTTAGACAACCTTAGTTTTATTAACTTTGATCCTAAGGTCAATAATTTAAAACGGGTGAAAGAAACTAATGTCCTCTTAGAACATAAGGAACTGAATACTTGGCAAAACTCAACTGGTGAATGTAGTAGTATTGTAAAGAGACAAAAAATGGAAGAGAATCTAGATAGCTTAAAAACCAAAGAAAATAAGAACCCTTCAGAACTGATGGAAACTGAAAATCCTAATGGAGAAGAATCGGAGACATCAAGCCAGTCAGGTGATGTCCCTCTTCCTATATGTCAACAGGAGGGCCCATCTCTAGTGAATGATGACTTACTAGCTGCTAATGAATGGGAAAAATACTTGGATAAGAATCAATCAGTGGTAGTAGATGTTTTTCAAGGCCAGTTCAGAAGCACGGTAAGTTCATTTTATTTTTTATATAGTGAATTAAATATTCCTTACATAAGTGTCATAAAATATGCTCAAAGAATGGATTGTTACTAAAACGTGCACCAAAACAAGTATAAGAATTTAAACATTGTAAGAAAAGTTAAAATACATATTAATAAGAGTATAAGATATATAATTTCATAAAATGTATCTTGCATCAAAAGCTGGGTTACTCATTTTATATTTCTTTTTTTTGTTTTTCAGTTTATTTGACTTGTTATTCTTAGTAGTGTGTTTATACATTTTTTTTTCTTTCAACCTTTTGTTATTTAGTTGTTAATGTTGCATATTTAATTTTCCATACATTTTTTGGGTATGTTATGCCATATCTATTAAGGTTAATGTTTTCAATCTCTTAGTAACACATCCTTTTTTTATTATCAGAAAGGGTTTGTTAAATCTTTTGATTTGATGAGTTTAGTTCTTTACTAGTTTTCAGCTGCTTTTTTTGAAAGCTTAGACTGGTTTAATAATGTTTTTTATTATGGTTACTTTGTTGAAAAAGTAACTTAAGTAGAATTGAATTAAATTTTCCAAACATTCTTACCTCCTCTCACACAACAGCTATAACTGCCAGGGTTTCTTCCTTTGCCCATCTTAGTATTGGATGAAGAACACTCAAAGTATCTCCTAACGATCATAACACAGAGAAACCCTTTAGAGAACGCTTTGTCGAGAAAAAGTTATAACATTATCTGAATAAGGCACTTGTATACAGTACCAGCATAGAGGGTGCACTGATGTAGCTGGTGAGTATTACTAGACAAATATCACTAAGGGCATTTAAGTGGGGTATAAAAGACTTGAGCAACTGAGAAAAAATCAGAGTTATCTAGTTGATTTTCGTACAAAAATAGAATTTGGTCTTGTTTATGACTATTTTAGTGAGATGTCTAGAGTCTGTTGGATAAAAGCCCTACAAAAGTAGCCAATAATTGACAAGTTGTCTTTAAACTCATGGTTACTTCAGATACACATTATTTATTGTGACTCTTACAGGTGCTAAGAACCACTAGTTTAGTATCACCCACTAAACTCTCTACTTTAAAGTTTTTATAAATTATTGTTGTGTATTTTATTGGTTTTATAAACACTTTAGAAGGAATATTGTTTCACTTTCTACTTGCAAACACACATGCTTTGAGAAAGAAAGAGAAAAATCCATGGAAGGCAAAATAAAATAATTATTCAAGAATTGAAATAAGTAGTTGAACTACATTCTATATATTTTTTTTCATGTTTATTAACTTTACAACATACTGATAAAAAGAGAATTAAGTGCTTTTGGCAATCCTGAGGAGAGGTTTCATTATAGCTTTCAGTTACGTCTTTGTGTTGCTTATGGGAAACTCAAATATTCCAGCTTAGTGTTGGGAAATTAAAGAGTACCTTGATAGTGGATATAAGACCTGAACAAGGCACTACTTGTAGCTTTTTTATAGTAAGTGACTTAAAATGTTATGAAAACTTTGAACAGTTTTAAACAAATCTTTCAAAAATACCGAACAAGGATATACAAAAAACTGTTTTTGTGTGACAGAACTTAAAATGATAATTAAATAGATAATTTTAAACTAAAAAAATCAATTTTGGTTTCAAGGAAAGGTTAGCCATATTTGTCATGAATATATAACATAATTTTGACTAGCACCAAACACTGCTATTCTTTGTTATGCTTTTTTTTAAGTATCAGTAGACTGTTCATTGTGCACTCGGAGGATTAATTGTAATTGTGTATTTTATGATACTAGTATAAAATATAAAATTTATGTGATAATGAAATTTCACTTATATATACTTAACAGGTTATTTGTTCCGAGTGTGGACATGTTTCTGTTACCTATGAACCTTTTATGTATCTTCCTGTGCCACTCCCTTATGCTCTAGAACGACAGATAGGTAAGTTAAGTAAATAATAAACTTTTATTAACCAATAACACTTTGAACTATAAACATGTTCTTGAAGTAAAAAGCTATTTTATTTGTAATCTTTTTTTTTTTTTCTGTTCCCTTTTCAGGCAATGTATATGTGATAAGTTTGAGATTCTTTAGTTCTTTGATAAGGAAAAAAACTAAATGTCCTTCACTCCATTATAGATCTTAAGACATGTTTACAGAAGTCATGAGCATTTTGGGATTATTGAACTTTTGACAAAATTTCAGTAGTGGTTTTTCAAAGCTGTCTTTCTGTCTTTGTCAATTATATATATGTATCTATATAAACTTTTGGAAAACATAACACCTTGAAGTTGGAGGATGGGTGATGACCTTTATAGGTACATACCTTAAGTTCCCTTTTTGTGGGTAACGATTTAAAGGAGTTAGGCATGTGTTAATTTGGACACTAGTATTTATTAGAAACTTGGATGTAATAAAAGGGTTTTTGGGCACTTTTTCAGAATTCTCATTGTTTTACATTTTCAAAGCTGACAAAAGTATATCATTTATAGTCACTAAAACTGACAAATAATTGCTATTAAAGGTATTGATAAACTTTTAGAAATAAACACGTAATTTTGATGTTACTTATGAGATTTGGTATATTAAACTATGAAAAATCCTACGTAGAATTTAAATTAGAATGTGTTCGGAATGTGAGCTGAAGCCTTATTTTTGAAATGAATTTCAGAGTATTATGTTAACCACATTTTAAAAATAAAAAAATAATGCTTTCAAAGAGTTGTCCATTCTTCTTCAGATACAAACAGGGACGTCGAGAGCCAGCCCAGACCCCGGGGTCAGTAATATTGTCAGGCCACCCTTTCATTCTATTTATTAATTTTTGCTGATTTTTCATAAAAGAAATTTAGGTGATAAATTTATTCATGAATCCATGAAAAAGCAGTAGCCATTTTAGCTCATTAAGTAGTATGCATTTCTAGTGAGCTTTGGAATATCCCACTGCCAGACCCTGGGGCAGCTACACCTTGCCCTCCCCCTCTCATCAGCCTTGGACACAAACACAAAGTGCTTGAGCTTTTGGATAGTGTTTTGTATTTTTATAATCATGTTGGAATGATTCACAGTGTTAAGTTGTGATAGTTATCATTCTTTGTGTGCTTATGATAAGAAATTAGCTTTCAAATATTAAGAAATTATCTATTTTATAAACCATATTAATACGTTTTAGTGGCAGAGACTCTTTGCATTTAGTAAATTAAGGTCAGGTACTCAGATTTTACTAATAATCAGTTTTAATGTGTATATTTCATAACACTTACTAAAATATACAGTGCATTAGTAATTAAGGAAACTTTTTGCCTTTTAATATTTAGGATTAAGTTCATTATTTACACAAATATGTCAGTTTCAAGCTTAATGGAATTAGTTATGTCTAAGTCTAACATGTATCTAACAGAACTTACTGTGTGTCTGGTTTTAGTTAATGCACTGTAAACTTCCATGGTACTAATATTCAAGGATTTTCATGTAATATTGTATGTTATGACAAGCTTTGGTCTTCAAAATATAACAGTTGAATTATCTTCCATTACTTTTCTGTTCTTCATAACTTCCATTAGTAGATATAGAATATTATTGTAATATTAGTCACTAATTTTATCTTCATTAGATATTATGGTGTTCTTAAGAAGTTAGATAGTTCATCTGAAAGTGTCTTTACCTGGTATAGCAAACAAAATTTGTTTACTTGCACTCAAGTATGCATGCGTGCAAATTTCATCTGATCAATAACACTTTAAGTTTAAAATAAAGGTGTGGTCAGAAAAGGATTGAATGTGCGACTTAAAGGAACGAAATCAAAATTGGTGGCCATATTGGTAGCTACACTTACAGCATTGACAAGAATTTTACAGCAAATATTCATATATTAGTTAGCTAGGCCACCATCATTCCCCAAGTTGAACAAATGAATGGCTAACTAATGAATGAATAGTAGCATGCTCAATCCATTTTTGGCTGCAACTTTTTTTCACACCTAAGGTGTTTTTGATATCATGACTCTTTGTCAATACACACCAACAAACTACAGTAAGTATGAGAGTGACACTTGATAGTAACCAACTTTAGCTTTAGGATCGCAATTTTATTATTCAGAACAGACCTATAATTTACAGAATCAACCAGATTCTTTAAAATATATGATGATAGTTTTTCCTCTCGAACAGTGTTAATAATTTCTTTTATAGAAATGCCATGGAAACTAGATTAACAGTTTCTTGTCATCACCCCCCATGCACTCGGTATACCTGTATCAATCACTCATTATTATTTACGCTAATTGATTAAGCTAATATCACGTGATGCTAAATACTCTTTAATTAGGATAATTTCATAAAATTTAGTAAGTAAGTTGGCAGTGAATAATAATAATAATAATAATAATAATAACTTTCCACCTGTATGTTTCTTTGATTCTTTTGAAAACTTAATCTAGAAACTGTTAATCTGGTTTGCTTGGCTTAACTGAGACTTATGTGTATGCATGTGCTTTCATCCTATAATTTTGCTGCTCTAATTCATAATGACAAAAAAATAAAAATGGACCACCTTTCCTCTCAGGTGAAGCTGTTGTAAAAAAATTTTAGACCAATAGTTCACATGACTTTTTTGTGTAAGTATGCTCAAAATGTTTTGTCAAAACTAAGTTGGTTTTGTTGAATGTGGCTTATATTTAGACTAAATTTGACATCTAATTGTAGGCTATAAAGATCTATCAGTGTACCTAATTTGAAAAAGATCCATGAAAGTTAAGTTTGTGTTTCTATTAAATAAAATTTCCGTACTTTCGGTACAAAGAAAAAAACGGAGGGAATCATCAATAGATGCAGCACTTGAAATTTTTTTAGGCAGGATTAAAGTAAATTAATCTATGAGACCTTTTTCTTCTTTTTATTAGCTATATCTTTGTGCACCAGCAATACAAAGCATGGGAGCACGTATACCCCATTCAAATTTATTGCTCATCAGGATCTCTACCAGCCTACTCTCAAATTGAAATTATATTAGGCAGGATTAGAGTAAATTAATTTACGAGACCTTGGGCATGGTCAAATACATCAGTCAAAATGGTTTAACCACCTGCTCCAAAACTGTAATTATATTTCAAATCAATCAAGAGATGACGAAGTTATGAGTTTGTACTTTGAAGAAATCAAAACAAAAATACTCAGAGCCGTTCTATGAGCCACTATGCAGTGGCTAAAAATAGGAAGAAATTCAATCAGGATTGGAGATTTTATATCTTGAGTATTTCTTAATGCATTGCCTTGAAATTTGTTAGGTGAAATAAGGGTCCAGTAGAGCACATCCACTGAAAATGTGTGATAGTTTGGATTACCACAGACCAAGCTACAAAAGTAGAAAATTGCTGAACTGTCACCCCTGTTAATAACACACAGTGTATCCTGCAGGTTGTTTTGGCTGCACAACCCACTGCTGTGTGTCTTGATTAGTGTTAGTTTATTGCTGAAAAAATAATAGAAATAGACAGTTGTCATCTTTTATTACTATTTCTCATCTCTCTATCTAAGACATTCTATACTTCTCTTAGTCCTCTGGTTGGATTTACAATGCTAAAATCAGGGTTTAGATTTCTCTTAGCAGACACAGCAGATAGCCCAGTGTGGCTTTGCTATAAAAAAAAACACACATTTCATTCTTAATGGAATGATAGTGATTTTTAAGTGAATTTGTCTTACAATAAAGTGTGGTAAAATTTATGAAATTAATATTATGTTCACTCACTGTACTTTATTAGTGTTAAGTCGATTGTTTCTAAATCCCGTATTCAGAAAATAGATTTGTGGTTGTATGATTTGAATAATTGCCCCTACAATAATTCTGCTGTTAAGTGTGGTGTGTTGGAGGTTATACTAAAATCTGTGCATATAGTATATGTAAATTTGATATGATCTGGATTGATTTTTTTTTTAAAAAGGAAAAAATGTCAATACCTTTCGTATTATCACTATGTAAACTTTATGGTCATTATGCAGAAGTGATAACCATTCCTATTTTGATGGAATCATTCTGAATTGTAACCCCAGGTTCAGCCACTAATGTCACATCCTTTAAATTTAATTTTTTTTTGACATGTTGTTGGTTTGGTATAACACGACCCGGTAAACATTTTATACTGGTGAAATAAAACAATGACATCATTGATATTGTTGTTAAGATAAGCATTTGTACTCCTGTACAGCTGTACTATATTCAAACCACAATCAAATTCTTTTATAACATGGAAATCATAAATCATATTAGTTGTTAGGTCACTCACAAGTTGGGACTGCCATATTAGTTTCAATGAAAATGTATCAAAATGACAGCTATCTAGCCAAGAATGTATATCTGAAAAAGTACAAGTTAAATAGTTTCATATTGGGATGCCATCCTTATGACAAAGAAAGTGAAAAAAAATAGACAACAAAAAACTTAAATGATAGCAATAAGGTAAATTAAAGTTGAAAAAAAAATCATTCACAACAACGATAATACATGTAGTAATGACATATTGATAGTTAACCTTGGTACATTGAGTCACAACCCTAACTGTTACCAAGATACCACAAAAGTTAGAAATATAAAGAAAAAATCTACAAAAGAACAAGAATCAGACAAATTTAATTGTTAAATGATATTCGTAAACTAAACTAAAAGTGAAAATAACAAATAACATTGACAATTACACATGGCATTCTGCTATGCAATTGTTGCAAAAATGTAAGTTTCAACATACTTCCAATGTACATACATTAAATCACTCAAAATAAATGAAAACAATGAATTTTGTACACTTTAGGTTTCAGCATTGCTCATGGTGGGAAAGTGACTGCAGAAATTACATTATTCTGATTTTTCTACTCATTTTTTTTTAGTCACGCATTCTTATTTTACATCAATTAGCTTTGGCATCTATATCATGTTATAAAAATTGA